TACCCCGCCTTCCCCACCAAGGCAAGCTCAGGGCGGCTTACATAAAACAATAGGTTTATAAAAACCAGCCATAAAGTGCTCGCCTGCAGTGCTATGTAGTGATGGCGAGACATAATCACAGATCGTCTCAATAGCGGGATCAGTCCTAAAGGGGTAGAATCAGCATTGGTATTAGAAACCCCAGTCTGAAAAACCTCCTCTCTCGAGGCACTGAATAGCACATCGTATTTTTATCGGATGTATTTTAATTGTTTGTAAAGCTTTTTTGTGTGGTGGCAACCGATAGAAGCCGCCTTGAGCCTGCCCAGCTCAATATCCAATAAAATAACAAAAACAATACTTTATACTTGCATTTATGAAAGGGATTCCAAAACTGTTTTGCCAGGCACGCAGTGTTCCCTCTAAGCTGAGTTGGTGTGAGCTAGCTCACGGTTTTTTAGCCTCCAACTCTCAGATTTTTTGCCTTAGCTCAGGAAGGAGGGCTCCAGAGCAAACTGATTCCTGCTCGCTCACAACTTGAATGCCAGTCGCTCACAAAGTAGGATTTTTGTTCACGAGACTCCACGGCTTAGAGGGGGGCCACTGGCCAGGATCTTCCTTTGGGAGGTAGATTTGCAAGGTGCTGTAGGGTTGCCAACCTCCAGGAGGGGCCTGGAGATCTCCTGGGATGACCGCTGGTTTCCAGCGGCCGTTTGTCCTGGAGGAAATGCCGGCTTTGGAGGGTGGACTCCGTGGCACCGGACCCTGCGGAGGCCGCCCCTCCCCAGGTTCCGCCCACCCAGATCTCCTGGTATTTCCCAGTCCAGAGGGGGCCGCCCTCACTCGTGTAGCAGGACTCTTATCCGCTCTCCCGCTCTCTCTCTCCCCCTCCCGCCTCCCCAGGCTCGGCCATGCTGAACACGAGATCACGGCCGCCTTTGCGAAGTTTGACAAAGATGGCAACCAGATTCTTGACGAAGAGGAGCAGAAGAGGATGAGGAACGACTTGGAGGAGAAGCGGGTGAGGTCAAAGGGGAAGAAGAGACGTGTCGAATGAGCCCCGGCGGAACTTTGGCTCTTTGAGCCCACGAGTGGGGAGCGAGGGCCCTTCCCCTTGGTTCCCCCTCAGAAGGGATGGCTCTGGCACTATGGGGCAACGCAGGGGGCGAAAAGGGCATGGTTCAGAGCACACGGACTCTAATCTGGGAGAACCGGGTTTGATTTCCCCACTCCTCCACTTGCAGCTGCTGGCGTGACCTTGGGTCAGTCACAAGTTCTCTCAGAGCAGCCTGTGAGGTAGGCGGGGCTGAGAGAGCTCTTTCGAGGACTGCCCTGGAGAGTACAGCTCTGAGAGAACTTGTGACTGACCCAAGGTCACGCCAGCAGCTGCATGTGGAGGAGTGGGGAACCAAACCGGTCCTCCCAGAACAGAGTCCACGCTCCTAACCATTATTGTGCACCACTAGGTGGCGAGCTGGACTCGTGTTTTTTTAGGGTGGAGAGAGTTCTTTGAGAACAGTGACCGGAGGCCAGGGCTAAAAAGGACATAGGCAGTGTTCCCTCTAAGCTGAGTTAGTGTGAGCTAGCTCACAGTTTTTTAGCCTCCAGCTCACACATTTTTGTCTTCGCTCAGGAAGGATGGCTACAGAGCAAACTAATTTATGCAGCGGCCAAATCGCTCGCTCACAAGTTTAATGCCGGTAGCTCACAAAAGTAGAATTTTTGCTCTCAGGACTCCACAGCTTAGAGGGGACATTGGCCAGAGGCCCTGCTAATGGTCAAGGGCGCTATGAGTGGGGCAGAAGGAGCCGAAAGAGGGGAAGGGTTGTTGTGTGGGTGGCCGAGCCGCTCTGTGTCCAGATTTTGGAACCGAGCTCCACTAAAAGATTCAGCAATGGGGGTTAGAGGCTGGTAACAACCACGGAAGCTGCAAGTGGCAGGAGAAACAGTGGGAGGTGCCTTAGAAGAAGAAGTCACCCCCTAGTCTTTTGGGGCTGGTCGAAGGAGCTCCATCGCTGGCTTTGAGCACCGACATGCCCACCCAGCAAAGAGGCGGTTCTCCCTGCCAAGAAAAGCTGAGCCAGAAACGACCGCTCCGAGAGGAGAGGCAATGTGGGGGAGTGGTTAGAGAGTCGGGCTAGGATCTGGGAAACCCAGGTTCGAATCCTCGCTTGGCCATGGAACCTTGTTGGCTGGCCTTGGGCCAGTCGCCCTCCTCCAGCCTGGCCTCCCTCACAGGGTTGTGCTGAGGATGAAAGGGAGGAGGGGGGAACGACGCCAGCTGCCTTTGGGTCTCCACTGGGGAGAAAGTGGGGTGCAAATGGAGTAGATAAAGAAATGAAATGGAGCAGTTCCAGGGGTCATTTCATAGAAAAATAGGTGCAGGAGCTCATTAGCATAACTCATTTGCATAACTCATTTG